CTTAAGCCGTAGGACCCCATTAGCCACCTTCATGACAGCCGGGGCCCCACTTACAGACCTCTGGTGGTAGGGAGATTACCACCTTGTCAGTGGCCTGGGAGAGTGGTAGGTGGGAGTTGGCTTGGAGTTCCAAGTCCGGGATTTATAGAAACCCCTGGGCCTGTGGCTCAGATCTTCCATCTCAGTTGCTTTCCGGCCTAGGGGGCCCCTGGTCAGACCAGATTCTCAGGCCCAGCCTAGGATGGACGGGTTTGGTCCAGAGTCAGAGGATCTGGGAGTCCAGGCCGCTTGGCTACAGCCCACCGTCTCTGTCTTGGCCTGTGTGCCCTCTGGTCTAACCTCCAGGCCTTGGGTGCAGACACCGGGTAGGAGGAGCCGGATGAGATTTTGGGCTCTTGACCCAAGCTTCCTTGCCACAGCCCCCAGTCTGTGATGGGGCCAGTGGGATTAGGGAGTAACCCCATAGCACAGGATTCCACAGTCTGTTTTAGGGGTTCATAGTCCCTTTAGGCCAGGCCTGGGCCAGCCAGATTCCTGCTCTCGCCAGAAATAGCCTTGACCCCAAACTGACCCCAGTCTGGCTGTTTTGCCTCTCTGTGCCTCAGTTTCCAGGTCTGCAGTGTGGACCATTTTCATCTGTCTCTGCTTCCAAATACACCCACACTCACACCCAGGGACAGGATTCTGTCTGCTGAATCCCAAGCCAGGGGACAGCTTAGGCAAAGGCCAAGAGGCTGGCAGGTGAGCAAGGATGCTGGAGCAGGCGGTGTGAATGGGGTGAGGTTCCCGTCCTGGCCAAAGAAAAATGCTCTTCAGGGCTCTTCCTGGGCTGAGTGGCCACGAAGGGATAGCAGGTAGAACTAAGGCGAGCGGGGAGAGGTTAGGACCCTTCAACGGCTCCTGGACATGCTTGGTAAAACCCCTTATTGTACCCATATCACTACTGGGCATTCTGCTGTGGGTGGGACTGGTCCCAGGTCACTCACTTCTCCCAGCCCAGTGCATTGTTCTCTGTCACTGTCACCCAGGTCCTCAGGCCTCTGTCTCCCCTTCGGTACGATGCAGGGGACGATCTCCACATCTGAGCAGGCCTGGGCTGGCTAGGGCCCCTCCATCCAGCCTCCACCTTCCCCCTAACCTCGGGCTGGGGAGCCAGTCTCTGCACGGAACTGTCAGCCTGACTCTGAGCGGGAGCTGACAGCTGCCTCATGGGGCATCCTTAAGGAGGGCTGGCTGGAATTTCCAAGCCCAGCCCAGGGGAGGAAGTATGCGATGAGGATGAGGGGGAGTGAGGGGTGGACAGGGAAGCCTTTGGCCCCTCACAGAGGCCACCGCAGCCAGGCCCCAGGAGCCCGCACGGTGGGACTCATGCTTACCCGCCACACGGGGTCGTCGTGAGCACGCCCTAAGAGGCTGTGGGAGCTTGGCTGGGAGAAGGAGGATGCCCGCCCCCATCCCCAGGGTGATCCTGGCCCTGCTGCAAGCTTGGGCATACCTTTGCCGCCTGGTTCGGCTGGCTCTGAGCTCCAGGAAGGCAGCGCTATGGTGGACACTTGGGCCACCTGCCACTTGTCTCTGACAAGACCTGCAGGCTCCCTAGTGGATTCTTAGTGCCGGGGTCAGGCTGCAGGTTTGGGGATGCCGGTGACTTAGGGAAGGGGTGTTGGGGACAGAGGCGAGGTCCCAACCTGCTCTGCTCCCCCCACAGAGATCCGTGAGGCCTTCAAAGTCTTTGACCGCGATGGCAATGGCTTCATCTCCAAGCAGGAGCTGGGCACGGCCATGCGCTCCCTGGGCTACATGCCCAATGAGGTGGAGCTGGAAGTTATCATCCAGCGGCTGGACATGGATGGTGAGCACCAACCCCTGCCTCCGTCTCCTCACCCCTCACCTGGGCCTCTGAGGCCGAGCCTGCCCTCCAGGTACCCCCAAGCCCATGGCGGTAGGCAGCCAGGTCTGGCCTCATTTCGCAGCCTGGAGAATAGACGCTAGTGTGCGATGGCCCCAGCCACACACACACACGGAGGTTTAGAGGCTCTGCCTCTCTAGCTCTGCATTCTGAGCAATTCGTTTTTTTAAGATAGTATTTTTAAGTCATCTCTACCCCCAATGTGGGGCTCAAACTTGCAACCTCGAGACCAAGAGTTGCGTGCTGTACGGACTGAGCCAGCCAGGTGCCTCCCGAGCAATTTTTTTTAAAGCACAGAGAAGTAGAAAGGCTATACTAAGTACCCCAGGTCCCATCACCCCAAATAAAAAATCATTTAGTCGTATTTGCCACCTGGCATTTTATTAAGGAAAACCTAGTAAAAAAGGCTGGTAATATCCAGTCTCCTCTTCTTGTTCCCCCCACCCCCACCATGGGCCTCCATCCCTGCCTCTCCTCCACCCACAGAGCAGGTGGTGGTCTGTGCAGTTTGTGCCCTGAGTTTCAGTTCCTGTCTGTGGGGTGAGGATGTCAGGCCTCACACCTGCTGGGAAGCCACGTTTCTGAGTAAAATGCAAGGCTCCCCCATGTGCTCGGGTCCATCTGCCGCACCCCATCTCCACTTTGCAACCACCATATTTTGTGGTTTTAGTCCCTGAAAATAACTCAAGGCTCAGAGGAGGTGGGACCTGCCCAAGGTACCCCGTGACCGAGGTGGCCCGGGACCCAGCCCGGTTGTCAGCTGGCCCACTGATTGGACCGGTGCCTGCCCTAGGTGATGGCCAAGTGGACTTTGAGGAGTTTGTGACCCTCCTGGGACCCAAGCTTTCTACCTCGGGGATCCCAGAGAAGTTCCATGGCACTGACTTCGACACTGTCTTCTGGAAGGTAAGTGCTGGCTGGTTGGGACTTAGGGTTGTACACACTGTAGAGAGCTGTACAGGGTCAGTGAATGGCCAGGGCCATCCATAAAGGCAGGTGACTATCCCAGGCATCTGTCCCCTGGATGTCTTATCTTTCAGAGGGCCAGGGGCCGGCCGGGGTAGGCTGGTATGGTCAAGGACTCAAGGAATGGAGCGAGTGGTTTCCAGTCCTCCAGAATCCAGAGACCCGTCACTGGGCTTGTGTGGCAACAGGGTGCTGGGTGGTGGCCGTGGTGGTGGCAGTGGCCAGAGCACTGTGTCTCCTCCCCAACCCAAGTGCGACATGCAGAAGCTGACCGTGGACGAGCTGAAGCGGCTGCTGTACGACACCTTCTGTGAGCACCTGTCCATGAAGGACATTGAGAACATCATCATGACGGAGGAGGAAAGTCACCTGGGCACCGCTGAGGAGTGCCCCGTGGACGTGGAGAGTGAGTGACTGTCCCCCAGCCCTCCCCCCACCCAGGGGCAGGCCAACTGCTGGGGGTAGGGGGAGGAGGAGGACCCGGGGATTGCAGGGGACGGCTGGGGGCCTCCTTGCCCGCCCCACGCTTTGTGTCCCTGTGGGATGAGCCCAAGTGCGGGCAGTGCAGGCGGCTCCTGATTCCGCGCTTCGCTGTCCCCGTCTGTCTCTCTCTGGTGCTCCCTGGCGGGCGGCCATAGCCTGCTCCAACCAGCAGATCCGCCAGACGTGTGTGCGCAAGAGCCTGATCTGCGCCTTCGCCATCGCCTTCATCATCAGCGTCATGCTCATCGCGGCCAACCAGGTGCTGCGCAGCGGCATGAAGTAGGCACACGCGGTGCGTGGGGTCCACTCCACACTCCCCACCGCCCGCCGTCCTCTCCTGCACTCGGCTTCCCTGGGCCACCGCCACGTGTACTTCAGGGCCCGGACATCCGGCAACCCCACCCCACCCGACCCGAGGGCCCTTGCATGGTGCCATGGCCCAGCTGCGGAGGGCCTGGTGGTTGGTTCCAAGGACAGCCCCCGGCCCCGCCTGCACCTGCCCGTGCCTGTATGTAGCACTCACTCTCCCTCCCACTGTCCAGGGGCTCCTGGGAAATCTAGGAGGCATCTGTACAGGGTCCGCTAGCTGATGTGGTCACTTAGGAAGAAGCAGCACCCTGTGCCTGGGGCCACAAAGCCAACCTGACCCTGGTCCCTGAGATTTGCCCAGGGCCATGGACCGGGTGGAGATGGGGGCAGGAGGCTTCCTCCTGGAGAGGGGGTAAGGCTGGGGTCTCCTGGGTCCTATTCCCTGGCCAAGCTTGAGGAGGCCCCTGGCCTTCTCTAGGGTCCCTTTCTCTGACCCTCCTTAGACTTAAACCCAGCCTTCCTCCAGGCACCCACTGGGGGCAGAGCATTTGCCCATTTCACAGATGAGCAGCCTGAGGCCCAGAGGGCCCCCAGATACGGTACCCCCTTCAACAGGAATTTTTCAGAAAGGGCAAAAGCTCCCAGCAGATGGGGCATCTGAGGTGGCCCAGCAGTCTCTGCACCCTCTGAGCCCCCCAGTCTGAGGCCCACCGGCCTGAGGGCCACAATGCCCACCACCACCCAGCACAGAATCTAGAACTGGTGTGCAGTGAGGCAGGAGGCAGATCAGGGGCCTAGAGGCTCTATATCGCCCAAGAGCCTGTGTGACCGCCCCACTAGCCCAGGGCCTCCTCCAGGCAGAAGACTTGGGGGAGGGCCCAGTGTCATTGCTGGGCTAAGGGGCTGGTATAGCTCAGCACTGTGGGTGCCAAGAAACTCAACCAGGCCACTCCCTCAAGTCCAGGGACTGTCCTCTTGGGTCCCCCAACCTCTCTACACAGGCCAGAGACACAGCTTCCACCAGGCCCCGGTTCTGCCATCTCACGTTCGGGCAGCAGCTCAGTATGGGCAGATATGGGGACTGGAGACAGCGGACGGAGTCCCTGAGTTCTTCTCCCAGATTCGGAGTCCCCTTACACCCAGGTGACCATCCCAACCACACTGGCACACCCTCTGCCCAGCTGTGCTGAGCCCCTGCCGGCCCTCCCAGGAGAAGGGCAACAGCGCTCCTCACCCAGCAGAGGACCTCATCTCAACTCCAGTCCCGCCCGTCCTCGGACCAGGGGTTTGGGGAGCAGAGCTGACGGCGCTGGCCAAGGACGAAACACACCACCATGGTGACAGACTTTCTTTATAAACACCCAGAAGGAAGTTTTCTCATCCATCTTCTCAGGATGTCCCATGAGGGCAGGAGGGTGTAACTGCCTAGAGCAAAGCTAGGACTGGGGCTAGGACCAATGGCTTCAGGAGGCAGTGGGCGGGGGCCTCCCGTGTCCCCAGGAGGGGCCCTCATCTGTATCGTGATTGACACCGAAACTGACCCGAGGGGTGTCAGGTGGGGATGAGAGGCTCAGCCCCACTGGACGCTGGGCTGCAGGGGCCACCCCCCGGGTGGGGGTGCCCGCAGGGATGGAGGCAGCTCCTGGACCGGCGGCCAGCCTATGGGGTACTGGAAGATGGTGGTTCTCATGGGTTCCGCCCTAGAGAGGAGGAGAAAGTCAGAAAATGAGAATGGGGCCCAGCCCTGGCCCGGGCTGGGCCACCTCCCCCGAGTACCCCCTCTCCCCACCACCCCAGCTACGGTCAGCTGCTTGAGTGACCTTTCTGGAAGGTGGAGCCTCAAAAACACGCAGACCCTTCGAGCCAGCAATCTCACCTCCAGGAATGAGCCCAGATGAAACAGCAGAGCTGTGGGGAGAGACTGAGCTACAAGAAGCAGAAAAAAACCTGTGTTCACCTGTGGGGGACTGATTAAACACACCTGCACGACCACAGCAGCGAATGCTAAGCAGCCCGAGTAATGGTGAAGGCAGCTTTGTATGCACTGATAAGGAAAGGTGTGATGATGTACTGTGTGAGTAGAGAGAAAAAGCAGCTTATAAAATAATGTATATAGCATGATACTATTTTTGTTTAAAGATATATAACATATATAAATGCATAAAAAAAAAAAAAAACAACCCTGGAAGACAAAGCAAAATGTTAACAGTGGTTCTATCTGCGTGGTGTAGTTATGGGTGACTTTTTTACTTCCTTTATACTTTTCAAGAAAAGTTTTACAAGCATGCAAGCCTTGGAAATCAGAAAAAAAAATATTGTCTAAACTTTTTTAAAAAAGCCTCATTTCTCATGCAGCTCACTCTCCTTCCCCTGGAGCGGTCACCTGGGAACCCAGGGCCTATGTGGAGCATCTGCCCTGGGTGCCCAGCCAGGGGCTGCCTGTCCTCAGGGAGCAGACAGGTGCAAAGGCAGTCCCCGCCCCTCCCTCGCTCCCCCAGCTCCACATTCCAATGCTTCTGGACTTAATCCCCACCCAGTCCGCTGTTGCAGGGCCTCCATGCCCCCCACCGGCTACGGAGCACTTTGAACTCACCGGAGAGCTCATGTCTCCCCTGTGGGACTGGAGCTCTCATGTGGAAGAGACCAGGAGGCTAGGGGTGGTGTCCGCCGGTCCCCCAGGAGCCAGAGCCAGGCCTGGCGCAGGGAGGCCACTCAGTGAATGTCTGCTGACGACGACGAGTCACGCTGAGTGTCCTTACTGACTAGGCACTGCCTTGGGCCAGACACCAAGGTCTAGAGAAACCTCAAGCACCTTCATGTGAACCCCATTTGATAGATGAGGCAACTGAGGGGTGAAGAGTCAGTCACACACAGTCAGGGATTGGGGGATTAAGGGCTAACGGGCAACGTGGATGTGGGCTCCAGACACTGCCTCCAGGCCGCGGGCCCAGCTCTCAGTGGAGGCTGGGATCCAGCCCTCTGCCAAGGGGGAAAGTCCTGGGCCTCTGAGAGGTTTGGAGAGGCCTCAGGCCTCCGATGCAGAGGTGGTGGCTGGGGTCAGGATCCCTGGGAGTTTGCCTTGCCGCCACCACCGCCCCCGAGCCTGACACTCTTGGGGCCTGACCCGCAGGAGGGAGCACACTTGAGGACTTCAGGCGGCCTCCTGGTACAAGAGGCCAGGGAAATCCCCTGCTTAGCCGCTCGCTGCCTGCTGGAGAGTGCGGGAAGCAGCTCCCAACGTGATTTATGGCACTGAGGAGACTTCATAAACTCCGCCAGCTGCAGAGAAGGGTGGGAGTGGGGGAGCTCCGCCGTTGCTGGAAGGGAGAGCCCCAGCTGCCAGCCAACCCCAGGCTTCCTGCAGGGTTAAAGTGACTGCAATTCTCTGCAGAGAGGGTGTGATCCTGGCGAACCCCTTCCCGTGAGCCCCAGACCCTTCTCTAGAAGATGGGGCCGATTCCTGGGCAGCTGGGGCCTCCCACCAGCATAAGGGCAGCCCCTTCATGGGCTCAGACATGGACACATTCTCAGGGCCCCTGAGCTCTTGGAGCACACCCCTCCTGTCCCACACAGAGCGCACGGGACACTGGGGTGCACAAGGCCGACTGTGGCCTCTCTCATGGCCTGTGTGCCCCCGGCGCAAGGACAGGAGCAGCTCTCTTTTGCTTTTCCCCAGTCACGGTTCTGAGCTGAAGAAAAGAGTCTTAGGGAAGCGCCTGGGCTGGAACAGTAGCGCCAGTCAGAAGAGGGGTGCAAAAGGGGGAGATTAAGAGGGATAAAGTCACAATCTGAAGAGCCAACAATGGAAAACAGGGACAAGCACTGGCCTTGCCGGGGGATTAGTCCACGTCTGAGGCCAGCCTCTCCCTCTTGCCACTGTCTGCTCTGGGCAGATCCCTCAGGGTCAGTGGGCCAAGAAGGATGGTGCCATGTGCCAGGCTGGGGGCTCACAGGGCCTCTATTTCCCCCTTTTACAAGAAGGGTTGGCCTGGTACACCTCGAAGCCATGGCTAAGGCCATGGGGTTGGAGCCCTCAGGTGCAGGTGGCCCCATGGGGACCAGGCAGCCATCTTTGCCCTGTACCGCTGGGGAGGAAACACACCCAGAGAAGAGGAGCCACCAGACTGGTCCCCAGAAGGGGTCCACAGCACCAACACCCAGGGAATAGTCCTCCAGGCCAGGGACCCTGCTCCCCTACATGCTCAGATGCAGTCAACATGGCCTGAGCCTGCGCCAAGCCTGAACGGCAACAATGTGAGCTTGGCACCGAGAGAGGGGCGTCTTAGCTAAAGCCTGAAGGATGAGTCTGCTTTGCCAGGCAGAGGTGGGGAGGCAGTTCCAGGCAGACAGAGTAGTGTACACGTGCTGCACCACACCAGAAATGCCCACCACATCCAAGAAGCTGCCAGCATCCCGAGGGACTGACAGATGCCACATGAGAAAGGTGAGGGGACTGCATGGGCTTGGGCTTCCCTGAGGTCTGTCGAGCTGGGTGGCAGAGTGCAGAGTCCCTGAGGTCGAGGAAGCCCAGGAGGGTTGACGCAGGGGTCGGGGCCAGGTCAGGGCCTGGAAGTGTTTTAGAAGCGGGCTGGGGCTGTTCTGTGGAGGACAGTCAGGAGGGGCAGAGTCTAGGTGGGAGACCGGGAGGGACTGCTGCGTCCGTGGGGGAAGCTGGGGTACGTGATGGGCACAGAGGGAACGGTCTCTGTGGGGCTGCTTCCAGGGTAAGAGACTCAGGGACCAGGACAAAGCAGCCCGGGAACTTGAATCCCCTGACCCAGCAGGGGCCCTGCCACCAGTGGAGGCGCAGAGCCCAACACCCATGGACTGCGGACTAAGGGGCTCTCCTTCCTGAGACCGCCCTATGGGAGAGGGCTTGAGGAACACCGAAGCAGTGACAGCCAAGGTAATAAATGGTCACCTCCCTTCCAGCAACGTTTTTCTTAAGGCCAGAGAGGCCTGCTCTGCCCCAATAGCAATCCATTCTGCCTCTGAGCCCTCGGGAGGCAGGTGGAAAGGTACACAGGCACAGAGGACAAGGGATTGCTGGGAAAAACAGGTCCTCTGGAAAGGGCCAGCTCGAGTGCCCAGGGCATGAGGGGCACAAAGGACAGGTCTGACACTCCCTAGAGCTTAGGGTGGTCCCCGGTTGCAGGCCGCACCCCAGAAATAGCGACTGCTGTCCCAGCAGCTGGCTGCTGTCACTACTACTCCAGACGTCCAGCTTGGTGGGGGCCCTTGGTGACAGAGGTGGCCCAGGGTCTAGACCAAGCAGGGGCTTCAGCTCTTTCTCAAGTGACAGCTCAGTGCTGCTGAAAATAGCAGGTGTGGGACCAGGATGTTCACACTCCTCTGGAGGGGTTGAGATCCCTCAGCCACAAACCAGGGGCACCAATGCCCTTAAATGCCCAGGGCCAAGGGCCCGGCATACCACAGCACCTAGCACCCCTGATTATCAATGCTTACCACCGCTACCTGAGACTCTGGGCCTATCATTCAGCCTCAGTTTCTCCACCTCATCCCCCAGTCTTCTGAGTCTCATGGTCACAAGCATCCTGCACTGGATAGCACTGGGACACATCTGTCCCTAGGTGGGGAATTCTGGTCACCCGTCTCTACCCACTCCTACACTTGGGCCAGCCCAGGGACTGGGTCTTCCTGAGCCTTGTGAAAAGCTCAGGAGGTACCCAGGCTTTCGGTGCTCCCTCCCAACAGAATATGCACCAAGTCAGAGCAGGGAGGCGAGTGGGGAGCACAGCTGAGAGCCACAGGTAGCCAGGTCCAAGCAGGAGGAGAGTGGGGAAGGCCTTAGAACTCTCTGGGTCCCTCCAACCAGCCCCAGCCCTCTGACACACGGCTGATGGGGCCTGGGGCTCGAGACATGGATCCCTGGACAAGTCCCAAAGGGGCACTCCCCTGACCCAAATCACAACCACCTCAGACAGAACCAAAAGGGACGGACATAACACTCTAACATATGTGTCTGTACTGTATTGTTTTTAGGTGAGGGGACAAAATGACGCAGATCTAAAACAGCTAAGAAACAATTAAAAGTTGGGGTGCCTGGGTGGCTCAGTTAGTTAAGGACCTGACTCTTGATTTTGGCTCAGATTTCAGGGTCGTGAGATTGAGCCCTGCATCAGGCTCCATGCAAGGTGTGGAGCCTGCTTAAGATTCTCCCTCTCTCTCTGTCGCGCCCCATCACAACTGCAACTCACACTCTCTCAAACAAAAAACAAAAAACCCAACAACTAAAGGTTAATCTTAAAATGGTTTAACAAAAAGCTCTCTCCATGGGGACATGGAGAGAACACCAGAAGTTTAGCCCCTACCTCCTGGCAGGGCTCAGAGGCAAGGCCTCACCCTCAACTGTCCAGCCAGGTTCCGTCAGCCCAGGCCAGGCCACTGTTGCAATGGACCACACCACAGAGACAATAGGGTCTGAAGCCCCATTGCAAGACAGGCAAAGTAAGGCAGCCCAGTGCAAGCAGCTTTACAAAGTCACAGGGAGCTCACAGGCACATCTGGTAGCCCCTTCCCTGCTCTCTCCCTCCTTCAACACCAGGAAGAAGAGCCCAGGAGCCCTGGGACCGCAGGCAGCGCACACCTGAGGGCCCCTGACCCAGGGTGCTCCACCTACTTCTGAGCATACTGAGTGCCAGGCCCTGGCAGCAGCGAGGCCCAGCCGCCCCAGCCCCCTCCTCAAGGAGGCAGTGGGACAATGAGAGTGAGCTAGTCACATCTCTGAGTAATCCCAGCTCTGCCTTTTGGCCGTGTGCCCTTGGGCAAGTCACACCCTTACCTCCCCTTCTGCAAGGTTGGGGTAACCGCGCCTATCTGGCAGGGCCCGAGAGGAGACAGCTCAGTGACTGGCACCCTGTGGGTTTCCAGAACCACAATCAGGCCCCTCCCTCTGGCAATGGACTTGGTGATGTCCAGTCAGGCTGGCCTGGCCACCTGCTTCCCCTTCAGCCAGCACAGATGCCAATTAAGGGAGGAGCCACCAAGGCGGGAGAATGGGGCTCGGGAAAAGAACCCTTAAACGAGTGCCCCTCAGCCTTTCGCCTGGGCCTGGGGACCCAAGAGTCCCAGTGTGGCTCCTCCCTTGAGGAGCTCTGTGGGGGCATCCATGTCTGGTCCCTGGGCCAAGGCAGTTCATGGAGACGACTTGACTTCCAGTGAGGGCAGGCTGGCTAGCGTACTATCCCAGAGGGCATAGGAGACGGGGACCCACAGGACTGTACCTGCTGCTTGGAGCTGAGCTCAGCCGCTTGGCTCTCTTTTCCAACCAGTCTTCCAGACGGCCCTCGGGGAGCTCGACGACATCTAGTGGCCACTCCCTGGCCCGCCTCTCCTCTGTGAAGATAGGGAAACAGAGGTGAGTGAGGGGCATAATCACCCCTGGCTGGACCCCAACCTCCCACAAAGCAGCCAGAACCTTCCTGGGGATGAGTGCACAAGCTGGGAGGCCAGGAGCAGAACCACTGGGCAGTCCCTACCATGCGGCTCCCTTCCGAGGCCTGCCCCTCTGGGTCTCACTCTGCTTCCTCATTAAGTGGAGATAAAACACCGGCTGCCTCCCAAGCTTTTTGCAGTTGGACACATGATAAAGCATTAGAGAGCCTGGTCTTCAGGAGGGGCCCAAACCTGGGGGCAGAGAGGCAACGTGGGTTGCAGACCAGGGCAGGGCAGGATTTGGGTCTCTGCTCTGCTGCCTGCCAGGTCTCTCTGATCCTTGGCAGGGGAAGAAGCCTCAGCTTCCTGGTTTCCTTTTCTTTCCTTTTTCCTTTCTTTCTTTTTAAATTGTATTTATTTGCCAGAAAGAGAGAGAGAGAGATTGAGAGAGTGAGCACAGCAGAGGGAGAAGTAGGCTTCCCGCTGAGCAGGGAGCCTGATGTGGGGCTCGATCCCAGGACCCTGGGATCACAACCCGAGATGAAGGCAGATGTCCATCCGACTGAGCCACCCAGGTGCCCCATCCTGGTTTCTCTTCTCATAAAATATCCTGTAAGAACCTCTGCTCACTTCAAAGTGAGTCAATGGTTCAAACAAGCTGAGTGTGAGATGGGTCAGGATCTCTGGGAGGATGTGGGATAGGGCCTGGGGGCCAGAGGAAAACAATCCGACTTGGGCACCAACGAGGGGGCCAGGACCTGGGCTAGCACTGCACACACTTCATCCTACTTCACCTTTACAACACGTCAGGACATTGCCTCCAAGAGGTTTAGCCCTGTGCCAAGGTCACGGAGGATGTGGCAGAGCGAGGACTATCAGAGGTGCAACCGGGGGGGGAGGGGGTGCACACCTTTGCTTCCAGCCCTCTCAGGCTTCCCCCATCCCTGTCTCTACCAAGCCCCGTCTCCCGCTGCAGGCCCACTGGCCTAGGCTCTCCCCACCATGGGCCAAGGGTTCCCTGAGAGCCCACGGACAGTGAAGAGCTGGAGATGCCACCACTGCCAGGATTTGCTGGCGAGGCCTGTGGGGCCTCACTTCTGCCCTGGGAGAGCTCCTGGAAACCCTGTGTCTGGGCCAGGCCGGAGCAGTGCGTGGCCTGAAGGTTATGACTGGTTGGTAGCGGGGGAGGGAGGGGCGGTGAGGCCCACTGGGGATTAGGGCAAAGGCCAAGCTGCCCCGGACACGCATTGCTGCCCTGCGGCCACCCAGACAGAGGGAAGAGTGGGCAGCAGCGCCCTGGGAGGCCAGAATCAGCCTCTCACTGCGGGGTGCTCATGTGAGGTCCTTCTGCCCTGGGCTAGCTTCAGTTTCTCCATCTGTTCCATGAGGGGCTGCATGAGAAGATTGACTAAGACCATCTAAGTGCAAATGGCCTTGTTCTCTAACTGGAGAAATGGGAAGTGAATTTCCCAAAAGCAGACTTGGCAGTTTCCACAGGGAGCTAAACTTGTTCTTCCCTGGAATTACTAGACCTGAGAGTTCTGAGGGCAGGGAAGGTGTCCTAGACATCCCTTTGTCCCCAGGATGCAATAGGGGATCTGCCTGGTGCTGAGTAAGGGCTGGAGATAGATGTTGCCTGATGAAGGGAAGGAGGAAGGATATGCAGGAATGGGCGTCCAGCAGGGCACAAATGAGGCTGAGGCACACCCTTCAGGGCTTCTGGACAGGAAAGCCCCACATACCACTTTAAACCCCACAGAGAACACAGATGGGGGCCCCCCATTCCTTCTCCACTATGCCTGCAGCGGTGTGGAGGCCTTTCTGACACCCACCCCATCACCTGGGGCAGCCCTCAGCTTATTCCCACAGGATGGCCACAAAAGAGGAGGGGGTGCCTGGGTGGCTCAGTCAGTTAAGCATCTGCCTTTGGCTCAGGTCATGATCCCAGGTCCGGGGATCGAGTCCCGCATTGGGCTCCTTGTTCAGCAGGGAGGCTGCTTCTCCCTCTGCTGCTCCCCCTGCTTGTCTCTCTCTCTCTCTCTCTCTGGCAAATAAATAAAATCTTTGAGAGGGGGAAAAAAAAAAAAAAAGAATCTATTTAAAAAGAAAAAAAAAGGAGAAGGAGGTGGGGAGGCAGAGAGCGGTTTTGCGGGCCTCAGATCTGGCACCCCACCCCCAGCAACCCACTTCACGCCCCAACCCAGGGTCCCCGCCAAAACACACCCTCCACCTGGATGCTCAGCTCCTGGAGGTCTCTCTCTGACATGTGGGAAAACCTGCAGTTGGAGCCGAAGTCACACTGGCCTGCAACAGGGAAGGGAAGACAGTTACTCACCACTTGGAAGAGCTCCCACCGTGTGCAGAGGGGCACCCTGTGGGGGCAAAAGGCTTTAAGAGTCTACAGAGTAACAATCCCACCCCCAAAGAAAAACTTGGACTCTCTCTAGCTCCACCCACCCAAGCAGCCAGAGCAACCTGTCTGGTCCACTCTGCCCCGTTCATGACCCTGGGAAGCAAATCGCGAAGCCTTCCATGATTGGGGTGCACCGGCCTCTGTAGGCTTGTCTGTTGTCACCACTTTCCTGGCCCCTGGCCCCTGTTCCCCAGCCTCAACAAACCACAGTGGGGGGGTCCCTGAAAGGGTCACACTTCCTCTCTTCAATCCAGGCCCTTGCATCTGCTGTGCTCTCTGCCTGGTGCCCACCTGCCCATTTGGTTCGCATGAGCCACTGGACTGCTCCCCAGAAAGGTTTCAATTGTAGCTTCAATCAAGGAGGCACCAAAGCCCAGGAGAGCTTTCCGAATCTCAACCAGGGAGACCAACTCATGTCTCAAAATAGCAGGAGCCTGCAGGTATCTTAAGCCAGCAGAACCTCCCAGTGGTGTTTTCACAGCCAAGTGAAGTCTGTTGGGGAGGCCCTTGACCTGCGGTCCTGGTGACCATTCTAGAGGCAGCACTGTCTCCTGAGGGGAAAACAGCCATTCACCTGTCTTCTTTAAACCAGCAGCATTACCTCTCCCCAGGGCCAAGCTCTCTTACACACTTAATGGTAATCACCATGGTTCCCCTCTTTGCCTTGGCCATTAGGAAGCTTAGGGCCAAATACCTAGAGAGTACATAGGAACTCAAAGCAAGCATGGAGGAAATGAATCATTCTCTTGGCTTTGTCTTCTTTTTCCTACCTTATCTTCATCTGCTCTTGGTTCCTTCACTTACTGAGGTTTTCATCTCTTTGAAGTATAATGCACCTTTATTTGGTGAGTGTTGAGCAGTCAAATCAACACTTAGCATTCTTGGTTCTAATTCTGAAGCTTCTCATCAAACCTGTTACCATCTCCAGCCCTCCCTGCTGGAGGGTGGGCTCCCAGGCTAACCTAATCAGCCAGTCCATCACAGCCATCAAGGTCTCCTAGATTTATTTGCCATCTCCCAGTGCTTGCTTGTTCTGGGTGGGCTGGTAAAATCATATTTTAGGTCCAAAGAGCTGAGGAACTAGGCCCTGGAAGTCATTCCCAAGGCACAATCCTTGGGGAAGTTCCAACTGACCAGCTGGCTGACACACCAAGACCATAAATTGGGCTTGGGTGGTGGCTGGGGTAGGGGAGAGGCTCCGCAGAGGTCTGAGCAGGCCAGATGGGGCATGCTGGTCCTAAGGGGGACCCTAACTGAGTAGAACAGGTTACCTGTCAGTAGAAACTTCCTACAAGGCCTCTTGTTCTGTTCATCTAGCAAAATGGCAGCCGCATCTGCAAGAAGAGAGAGGGTCCGGGTTCAGACTCAGGCTGCACACAGGCACTTCCTATCCCCGAAATCAGAAAAGGGAAGAGTTCCCACCCACAGAGGAGTGTAGGAAGGGATGACCACAGGTAGGGATGCTGGGCAGAAGCATCTGAGCTTCAGGTGACCTCAGCCCCTTCCTCCCCACCCAGACCTAGCCAAAGGCAAGAACCAAGTTTTAGGTCTGAGGCTCTTGGCCTAACCATGCCACGGAACCACCTGGGTAGTTTTATTTATTTTTTTAAAAATATTTTATTTATTTATTTTATAGAGCGATCACAAGTAGGCAGAGAGGCAGGCAGAGAGAGAAGGGGAAGCAGGCTCCCCGCTGAGCAGAGAGCCCGGTGTGGGGTTGGGTCCCAGGACCCCGAGATCATGACCTGAGCCGAAGGCAGAGGCTTTAACCCACTGAGCTACCCAGGCACCCGTTTTGTTTTGTTTTAAATCCTGGTATGGTAGACTTCTCATACTGTCTTTGCAACTTCTGTGACTCTGTAATTATTTCAAAAGAGAAAGCTAAAAAAACCCTCCTGGTGCCCAGGAAGCCCACCAGTAAGTCCCAGGGCTCAGGCATCGGTCCACGGCCAAGCCTGCAACCTGCTGCTCTCTTGTTCCCTCCTCCGCCCTGCCAGCTGCAGGCCTCCGCAGGACTTCCCAGCAATCTTTCCAGAAGCAAACCTTAACCCTGGTTTCCTCCAATTTTTTGACCTTTATTTTCATCATATACTTATGATTTAAGTTTTGTGTGTTTCTTGGTAGGTAAAGAATCAATCAGTCAAAATCTGTGAGTAAGACAGGAAGGGGCTCTGACTCGGAGGCCCTGATGTTGCCCTGGGAGCCTGGGCTGGACACTTGCCGCATGGGTCCCGCTGCCTTTTCTAGAGGCCACTGGAGCAGAGGAAAGACCAAGGGTTTCCAAGTTCCCGTACACTTGACTCCGGGCAAGTGGCTTTATCTCTCCAAGGATCTGTTGCCCCGCATGTAAAATGGGAGCACAATTCTCCTCTGGTAGGGTTGCTGTGAAAAGCGAATAAGACACAGAGCCCTTGGCAGAGGCCCCTGGTGATCCCAAGCCTGAGGGCACATTACAATTGCCAGGACAGTGGGGCTGGGAGTGGCTTCGGCATCACATTCCCCAGGTGACACTAACGTGAGGCTGGGGCTCAGAACCTCTGTCGTGGACGCTCGAACAATGCTGAGCGGTAGCAGTTCTTATTTCGTGTCCTCCTCACGAGCCCACGGCACGGCTCTAACATCCCCACCTTGCAGAGGGGAAAACCGAAGTTCGAACAGGGGCAAGGGCACATCGTCAGGAAGCGGCAGCGCCAGGTTTGAACCCTGGTGTGAGTCTAAAGCCCCTGTCCTTCCCCGAGTGGCCACGGCTCCCCTGGTGGCGGGTGAAGTGGCCGGCTCTGATGGGAGGTTCACCCTTCCTCCCTTCCCCGGCACCAGGCAGCCGGTGGGGGTGGGCTGCTGTGGTCAGGAGTTGGTTATGAGAGAACTCCCTCCGGGGGTGACCCGGTGGAGTGTGGGTGGGGCCGGTAGGGTACGGGGTGTCCTCAGTCAGCACTGGGCCTGTCAGACTCAGCCCATCCAGCTGGTCCCACAGACCGTCCCACGGAGGTGCACTGGTCGGGGCATTCGAACATTGCCCCGTCCCACCTCCACATCCCAGAGGTAGGGTAGCTGAGCTGGGGTGGGGGTCTGAGCCTAAGTCTTAGCCAAGGCGTCCTGGGGACTCAGTGCGGCAGAAAAGTCCTAGGCTGCCCAGCGCCCTGGTTCTTGACCCCAGCCACATGGCAGAATCACTAGGCAGCCTTTAAAATACAGGGATTCCCTGGGCCCATCCTTCTCAGATTCTGCTTTAATTCAGCCGACAGGGAGAGCATGAGAATTGTTAAAAGCTCCTCAGGGACTCTGAAAGACACCCAGGACTGAGAACCCGAAACCAGGGCCTGCGCGAAGAAGGCATGCTCCTCCAACCTGGTATTCAAGGCTCCTCATGATCTGACCCTATTGGTCCTTCTTGCTTCATCTCACAAAATTAACAGCTGCCCTGGTGCCTGGTGTTTGTTTGCTTGCTCGTTTAGATATTCATCTAACAAACATTTACTGAGCACGTCCTGTGTGCCAGGCACCACGCCAGGATGAGGATTTAGTGGAGAATAAGTCAGACCTGCTTCTCCCTTCCAGTCCAACAGTCACACTAAGCCATGTGGACATAAACAGGGGAACAGCTAGCATGCAGCCAAATGACCTGACCTCGCCTGGGGACTGGAGAGGGCAACCCTGAGGACACTGTGCCTGAGCTGAGTTCTGAGATGGAAGGGCTAGGCTGAGGGCATGGAGGACAGCAGAAAAGGCATGCCCACTGAAGGGACACTACCTGCAATGGCCAGAGTGGTTGGGGCTTGGACGGCCAGGTGGGCAGGGCATGGAGGCCTGTACAAGACAGGGGTTCTGCCAAGAACACACCGTTATAACTGGGAGTGGAGTTGCCTAGGAGAGGAGGCCCTGGGAGCCAAGGACATACTAAGTGCTCACTGAGATAAAGGGCCTGAGGCCAATCCTTTTGTGGACCCACATGGTTCCTACTGAGTGAACCCTTATTGCCACACAGTCGTCATGAAAACACTGAGCCCCTGTCACATCCCTAGGAGGTGGGTACTGTTGTTAGGGCTCTTTAACACAGGGTAGAATCAGGACAACACTGTTCGTGAGTGACACCTTGGGACAGCCAGCCACCCTGCCTAGCTCCAGCACTCATACCTGTCCTGGCCACGGCAGATGCATGGTCAGTCCCGCTGCGGGTGAGGGGACTTGTCTAAGGTCATGAAACTGGGAGCAAAGTGGGTGTTGAATCCTAGTCCAGGCTGGGGTGCCATGTGCCTCCCCAAGGTCTGTGCTGTGCAGTTGGCTCAGACAAGCTGGAGCCTCGGGGAAGCCTCATAAAGTGGAAAGAGCTCCTGCGCTTGCTGTGGACCCCGGGTGAATATCATCTACCATCTTGAAGTCACCACCTTTAAGTGGGGACCCCCACCTGCCCAGCCTCCCTTGTAGAGCTGTTCTAAGGATTGAATATGCCGGGGGATGTGAGAGGACACTGGGAATGCAGGGCCCCCAAGAAGGGGCTTACGGTACCGACTCTTTCATCTTTCTTTCTTTCTTTCTTTAAGTAATACAACAGCCTCTGCCAATCAGCCCTAGACCCAAAGACCCACCTGTTCTTCAGCTGAGATTCTGGAGCTGGAAGCAAACACCAAGGTAATCTTGAGGCCTGGCTCCTGCCAGATCGCAGTCCCCACTGGATTTGTGGGGCAGGGAGCCTCTGCCTGACACCAGAGTCAGAGGCCTACCAGGCACCTCGGAGAACCCTATGCCACTGGTACCACTCTGTTCCCACTCCCAGCCCCTTGTGACCTCAGCCATGCCTGGCCTGCTGCGCAGCCTGGCCGCCCTCCCTCACCCAAGCCTCAGCTTCCTCCTCAGGAATGAGTCTGGGAGAGCTCTGAACAGACTGTGCCAAGGCCCCACCCCAAACGTGCCTCTGGGGATGGGCTCAGGTGACCAATAAGTTTTTTTTTTCAAGGTCTCCAGGTGATCCTAACTTGAAGGGCGGAGCTCAGCCTTAGAGATTTGCTGATGAAGCAAAGGACAAACCACAAAAGTGCAGCAGGCACTCCATAAACGCCCACTCCCTTCTTACGAGTGGAATTCCCACTCGCAGACCAGGGCAGACTCTGTCCTTCTCCCTTCTCAGCTGCTGAGACTCAGCTCCTTCCTTTTGCTCTAGGAATCCTGCTCCCTGGCTCATGAAGCATTGGCCCTGCCCCAGCACATTCTAGAAGCTCTGGGCCCATCCCCACCCCACCGCCAAGCCCCCTGTCTGTTTCATCAGCTCCTGGCTGGCCACCCCAACGTCTCCCTCGCTGTCCAGCAGCTCCCTTGCAGCGAGCACCTCGAAGGTGCCAGGCTCTGCACTAGGTGCTTGTGGCGTGAACTCACTGGCTTTGGTAGCACCTGCTCTGAGAAGCCTTTCCCGGGAAAGCCCTCCCTCCCCGCAGCTTGGTTATTCAATTGGCCCGCCAGTCATTCAACAGCCATTTTCTGCACCCCACACTCACGCAGCAGGCGGGCTTCACTGTCAAATGCAGCTCGTGAGCACTGCCTTCACTTACACCAGCCGGCCCCAGTCCTGCCACTGGCTTCAGCCCCTACCACCCTCCTCTCCTACTGGTCCAGCCACACCTTCTCTCCTCTGCTCAGACAGCACCTAATGCTTTGTTCGTGGCCGACTGCTTCGGCATACGCTCTGCCCAAATGCTGAGGCTGGCTTTTCCCTGTCTTTCCCACCGTTGGCTCAAACATTATCTCCCTGGAAAAACCTTCTTCCTGGCCACTGTATCCCCAGAGGCTGGCAGAAGGGAGCCTCCATCTCGGTCAAGATTACTGGGGAACGGAGCTCACATTCCAGCGTGCCCCTTGCATGGCCCATCGGTGGCCCCAGTTTTCCTTTCTTTGGCTCATCCAAGAGCCCTGACCAAGCCTATCACTGGCCCCGGTACTTCCTTGTCTGCCCATAAGAAAGATCGGAGAGCTGGCCTCCATCGGCGCAGCTGCCCCGCCAGCCAACGCTCACCTCGAAACATGTCATACCAGACCTTCTTGGCCTTGAGGTGCTGCAGCCCATTCAGGTGCTTCTTGCGGTTGTGGAGGTTGTCCTGGAAGGAGCGGTTGCAGTAGTCACAGAAGTAATGCTTCCCCATGGCAGGCTATGCCGGGTGCTGCTGCTAGAGAAGCCGAAGCGCCTGGTCAAGAGTAGGGAGGAAGGGCCAGGCACCAAAGCCTGCAGTGGTGACGGAGGAGGCAGGCTGAGGACAAAGCAGAGGCTGATACCTGGCACCCGCCAGGGGGGGGTCTGTGTGACATGCCTCGGGGCACTCCCGGCTGCCCTAAAACGAAGGGAAGGAAGAAACAAATGGTTAACTGACAGCGATCACCGTCCTGCGGGATGTGGGACAGGAGTCTCCCTCACTGTACAAATATCTTAGCGATTCACAAAGAAAAAGCATTCTTATCAGTTGGCTAAATTTCAGAGACCCATAGACTCAATTTCCTGGAGCCCGAACATCACCCTCCCCTCCACAGTGATGTGGGAAACAAAGGCAGAAGGGAATGTAAATAAAATTAAATTTCTTTATAACCTGCAGCCCATTCACAAGTACTTGGGATACATAGAGAGTAACATTCCTTCTGGAAACTCCCAACTATCTTAACGTTAACACCTTACAGAAGGAAAAACAACCTTAGCTGGACAATAGCCAGGCCTCCAGCATCCCAGAGGGTCTTCATTAGCATATGAAAGTCCTTTGGGACCCCTCTCTTTTTCCTTACATCCCCCAACTCCCAAGTATATCACCAGCCACTCCTCACAACCCCAGTGCAGCAGCTTTGCTGCCCCCTGGTCCTGTCCCCATGCTTTAATAAGATCACTTCTTTTGCACCAAAGATGTCTCGAGAATTCTTGACAGTGAGCTCTGGACCTCACCTACATTCTGAAACAACAGCATGCAGCACAGCCCCCAACTGAGCATGGCCTGAAGGCCAGTGTAATGAAGGCTCTGGTTACACACGCCTCATTTAAACTCCAGAACAACCTGGAAGGAACTACACGGGCCAATGAGTACGCCTGCGAGGCCTCATTCCAGGCAACAATTCTGATGCCCAGCCTCCATCCCAGGGCCAGTGATCACGGAACTTCAAGGGTGAGACCTAGGCCTCAGCATTTCTGTAAAGTTCCCCAGGGAATTCTATGCAACCAGGCTGGAGAGCCACCGCCTTACACCCTCTGGCCACTTCCCCACCTTCCCCCCAGCCCTCCCAAGTCCACCTCTGACCTCCTCTCTCCTCTTCTCTCCAGTCTGGCCACATCAGCCTCATCTCTGCTTCTCGCACCTGCCAGGCACCCCGCCACCTCATACATCTGGTCCTGCTGGTCCCTCTGCTGGGATGCTCTCCCTTGCGACCCTGCTCACTGGATTCCTTCAATCTTCACTCAAATACTATCTTCTCAGTAATCTCCTATGAGGGCTTTATTTAAAATTGCAGAATTTACTTAGCTTTCCCCATTCCCTGCTTCATTTTTATCACCTTTGAAGTAATAAGTTACTTGTTATGCTTATTATCTTTTTCTCCCAACAAAACTATAAATCCACGCAGGCGGGTATATTTTTGTTTTGTTTACTGCTGGAGCCCCACTACCCAAAGTGGTGCACAGTACAGAGTAGGCAACCAATATTTGTTGAGTAAACGGATTAATTCCCACTTTCCCTACAGGACAACTGAGGTTCACAGAAAGGAAGTGATTTGCCCAAGGTCACACAGCTGATGAAAACGCAAAATCCAGATGCCCTAAAAATCCCACTGCTGGGTGTCCTCTCTTCCTGAGCCAGCTCAAAGCTTACAGAAGCCAGAAGGCTCAGGCAGAAATGCAAACAGTTTCGCCAGGAGATTAGCTAAACTCTTAGATGGCAGGTCCCCACCAATCAGAGAGGGAAATGAGAATGTTTCAGGGTCTTAAGACCCCTCAGCGATGGTGACCATAGCTACCACACCCGACCCAGGAGATCCCCGGCCATAGGCAAGGGGTAATTCTGAGTGTCAGGGCTGCCCTTGGGTCCCCAGGTTTACTGACACGAGACAAGAGGATGAATGGGTCTACTCTGGGCTGCCAAGTGAGATATGCAAAGGCTGAGCCCAGACTACCCTCTCACTCTTCAGGTCCTACAGTCTGATCCCTCGTTTCCCAGAGCAGAGGCCCAGAAGAGGATGGAAAATGACTTCCCTAAGCAAGCCAGGCTAACAGCAAAAGCACAACTCCCAGGACTTAGCAAATTAAAGATACGGCTGGGACCTGACCACAGGGCAGATGGATGGGGGAATGCATCTTGGGAAGAAGAGAAGGGGGAGAGAGACAGAGACAAACAAGCCCCCTGGACAGTCCAGGCAGCCAGGTGGGTCGATGGAGGCCTTTCCTGCGGCAGACAGGGATAGCAGCCATTAAGTCAAGGGCTGTAATGGGATCGGGAACAGTCATTCAAAATGAAAACGTATAAAACCTCTCTTCTTCTATTACTGCTGAGAAACCACATCCCAGACACATGGACTTGATATATTAAATTTGGCAGCTCTAATACACCCCGTCTTGCCAATAAACTTATAGGAATTGGATTGAAATTGTAAGAGATGAACGTTTAACGGCCGAGTGCTTAACCAAGCCATTCACGAGGCCTCAAGCTCTGGAGAGCTGCTGGCTCTGGAGAGTCATGGGGAGGGGAGGGGGTCCCTCTGGGAGGCAGAGATAGAGCGCTGGCTCTGCGGCAGTCTTGGCTGAACAAAACCACACAGGGCACAAGGCTGGCCAGGTGACCTTGGACCTCTCCCACCCTCTCCTTTTGCTGCAGGAATGTGAGACAGGGGGTCTGACGGGTTAGCTGATTGCCTGCAGAGCAGTAAACAGAAGTTTGGTAATCCAACTGAAATGTTAATGAGAGTAATGGAAACACAAATGACACTAATAAAGTCCAGCATGTAGCAAGTGGTAAAGAAATGTCACCTACTATTTGATTTACTGAGCACCTACTAGTGTGGCATGAGGCTAAGAGCTTTACAACGCATCATCTCATTTAATCCTAAGGACAACCTGTGAGGCAGGACCTACTCCACTTCTTCAGATGAGGGCACTGAGGCTCCAAAAAGCAAAGTGCCTTAGCCAAGGTCACAGGGCTGGAAAGCAGCCAAACTGGGTTCAGAATCCAGGCAGGGTGGCTCTAGAGCCCACGCTCCTCATGGCTTAGGAAAGCCTCCTCCCAACAAATCACGCTGCTGACTGCTCTCCTTTTTTCTTTTTCTTTTTTTTTTTAAAGATTTTATTTATTTGACACAGAGAGAGAGAGATCACAAGTAGGCAGAGGGGCAGGCCAAGAGAGAGGGGTCACAAGTAGGCAGAGAGGCAGGTGGAGAGGGGGGGAAACAGGCTCCCTGCCAAGCAGAGAGCCTGACATGGAGCTCGATCCCAGGACCCTGAGACCATGACCTGAGACGAAGGCAGAGGCTTAACCCACTGAGCCACCCAGGCACCCCTGACTGCTCTCCTTTTTAATCAGTTACTATACCCTGGGGACCACAGGCCCCCCTCCAAACCCAAGAGGTATGTGTTATAAGCCCACTTGCGAAGGAGAAGACTGGGGCTCAGAGTGGTGCCACGAGGGACCCCAAGTCACACTTCCAGGAAAGAAAGTCAGAGCAGCTCTCGCGGTGCCTGCACTTGGACTGGAAATGATGAGCCCCTTGGCAGTGGAGGGTGGGGGGGAGAGAAAGAAAGAGAGAGAGAGAGTGTGTGTGTGAAGTTTCCTCCTCACTTGGACTTGCTGGGAACGCCTCCCTGAAGTCATATAATGAGCCTCTTGGCAGTGGACACTGTGTGTGTGTGTGTGTGTGTGTGTGAGAGAGAGAGAGAGAGAGAGAGAGAGAGAAACACGTTTCCTCCTCTCTCTCACATGCATGAACCTCAGCGGAGAAGCGCCCACCCACACCTTCCTTCCTCTGCCCCCCCTGCACCTGGCACAGGGGCAGCACTCAGCTGTCCATGGTGGGTCAATGCACCCCGCGCTCTTCTCCCAGCTCCGCTAGGTGAGGTTGTGGCTCTGTCATTTGCCCACTCGGGGTCTCAGTCTCCCCATGTGTGAAGGGGGAGGCGGGCAGCTAGACCAGGTGATCTCTAAGGGCCTCTCCAGACAGCCACGTTTAAATCCAGGTGCCACTGCTTTCTAATTCTGTGCTCAGCTTCCTACTATGAAAACTGGGATAGTAACAGGGACCACCTCAGGGATTGTTCTGAGAATCAGCTCATCTGTGCACACATACTTGACTTAGCAGAGCCTGGCCCCCAGGGGCCCCTCAAGAAACAACAGCCAGCATCACCCATCATTATTACTGGTCTTCCAAAGGCCTGTATTTCAGAAAACTGAGGCTCGGAACAAGGAACAGGATGTCAGTGTCCAAGTGACAACTGGGGGCAGCTGGTCCGTATGACAGATGAGGAAAGGTGAGGCCAGGAGTGGGTAAGTCGGTTGCCCAAAGCACACAGCACAAGGCAGAGGTGGGACCGGACTTCAGCCTTCATGATGGGCCCAGACGCCTGCCCTGAACAGCAGCTCTGCAGAGCCCGTACAGCCCGGGAATGGTGTCAAGGGGAGCAATCGAGCTCCAGGGCAATCTGTGCATCCCACTTCCCAGCAGGCCAGTCCCCAGGGAGGCTGAGGTCCTGGGCAGGAGCTGGGCTTCAGCAAGGTGACCTTGCCCTGACAGCAGCCAGCTGTGAGCTTCTAGCGGTCCTGACCCAACTGCCTCCCTCTCTAGCGCCTTGGCGCACATTAGGAAAAGGTGCTGGTGCAGAATTCTCCAGACAGATACGGTGCCCTGCCACTGCGTATTTGGCATCTGGCAAGCAGAGCTTATCTCACTCCGACTCACCCCTCAGCCAGGTGTCCTTGCACAAGGCACAGCCTGCACCACCGCACTTGGAAGCCCTGAGTGGGAGGTCAGGGAAGGGGGTGGCGGAGACAGCTGGACATCTCCAAAGGCGCCCAGACACCAGCAGGGGGCACTGACTAAGCTGGCCCTCTCAGCCGTGATTCATCCTCATCCTCTGGGACTGGTGCGGTCAGCGGCTATGAACAAGGCACCATCCTGCCTTGCTGGAAACGGAGACAGTGCCACCTGCCCATTCTCAGGGATCGGGTCCATGTTTGCAACAGCAGCTGCTGGCTCCCTGGAGCTTCACCAGGTGACAAGGTGGCTCCCTATGGCCAAAGGGCAGCAGGTTGAGGCCAGTGGGACAACCCCT